ATGAAGACCTGCAGAAGGTATGAAAATTTCCCTCTTACTTCTGTATCATGATTACCACAGAGTCCTTAACCTTTCATCTGTTCTCATCGACACACTTTTTTATTTACATTTTCAGATAATCAATATTACATTGGCTGACCCGCAAATAGCTACATTTTGTCTAACGCGGGTCATGTTTAATCTTAAGTAGTTGCGTGAACTACTAAAATATTAAACAAATTTTTACTACCAAGAAATATGTCGAAAAGGAAAATATCAGGTGAAAACTTATATAGTCAACTACTATATACCTCAGTGGCTTGCGGTGGATATTTACCGAGCCGCGAAGCGTCAACGTAAATATTCACCGCTAACCACCGACACTGAGCTATAACATCCCACTGTTTTAGTATATACTAAAACAGCTCCAAAAGATGATTTTAATTCACTTTTACCTGCAAAGATTAAAATATTTTCGCGTGTAAATCCAGCGCGAGTTGCTCAGAGGTTGATGCTTAGGAACAGGAGCCCCGGGCTCCTGTTAGCAATTATTCCATAAGCGTGCGTTGGATCTGAGATGGTGAAAAATAGTCAATTTGGTACCCAACAAGTGCGAATGGACTAGTTATTTTATCAAATTTCATTAAATCCTGAACGGTTTGATAAATGGAGTTTTTTTAGCTCCGCAAAATTGGCGTAATGCATTTCCATGTAATGTAAATCTGAATATGTGCTGATAACCGGTGTAAGGTGAACCAATCAGGACACTAGAATATACAATATTCAGAGTTGAAATTTTAATTAATAACAAAGGATAATCGAAGCGCGCCTTCAACGCTATCCACTATTTTTGTATTTACTAAAACATTCTAACCAGTTTTAAGCGATCATCCGGGGGATGGCGGAGAAATGCATAATACATAACCGCTTGATACAACTTCCCCAGTATAGGGGTATAATAGAATACGATGAAAACATCATTCTATGCCATGATTGATCACTTCATGTACAAAAACTCGCTAAAACGTACTACTAACATTGATTTCAGGGGATAAACAGGATTAAATTTTACTTACAGTACAATGACAGTAGGTAAAGGAAACATTTTAGGAACTTTGAAAACCTACCGCGAAATACGGAGTGAACGCTTAGTACAGTACCGCTCAATATAGGTTCGATTGTACCACTATTCACCTCAGTGTTAGAATTTTAGTATTTAAGTTATGGACTTTGTTTGCCAGGATGCTCAACAAAATATCATGGAGTTTTGTCCAAAAAGATTTTCTTGGTTGGTCTCCTAGGCAGGATACTCACTCATTCCACAGCTTGATATTCATGGTAGATAAGACATTTTTTTTTATTTTTTGACAAGTTCATTTTTTGAGGAGGAAGATCGCGTGTTACGAGAATGAGAATGAATGTTTGCGTCCAATGCGTTGGTGAATTCCTGCAAGATGTTAGATGGAACACAATTATTAGTGGCCAAAAAAGCGAGTCAAAAACAAAAAAATCACTGAAAAAAAACGTGATGTTATCGCGCCGCACGGAAATCTGGGACAGAGGCGCACGTAAAAGGTGTGTACTACTTTTATGTGCGCCTCAGTCCCAGAGTTCCGCACGGTGCGCTAACATTAATTTTTTTTTTCTTCGCCGTTTCTATTTTTTTTTCTTTGACTCGCGCAACGGAATTTACCCGGAAAAGAAGGAAGTTCTCGTAGTCTCAAATATTAGCCACGTCAAGCATGAAATAAGATAATAATGACTTCATAGTATAGAAAGTTTATAGGTAAAACATCAGCGTCGATAAAGAGAGAAACAGAATGATAGTTTCTGTCAGTGTATATGAAGCGCAGGGCTCTGTCAGTGTATATGAAGCGTAGTGCTCTTTCTTTGTAGAGTTAAGATTTTGTTCAAATGTGTCTGACTGGCAATAACTATGTGGGCTCAGGAGCTAATCGTGCTCGTAGTTAAGTTCATGTCATTTAGAGTCTGTGCGAGTAAAAGAGGAAAATATTATTGCCCCAGACCGAATCAACAGTCAGGGTCTAAAAATAACTGAATAGGACGTGCTGTCTTTGCTAGCTATGAAATCTTCAGATCGGGTTAGACGTCTTAAGCTTCTCGGGTAAAGACGAAACACCGTAGGCCCCGTCTCCTGTATCTCCTCTGTACTGGTTTG